CTATAAGACCTTCTCCCACTTATGTGTGTATAACTCTCAAAAGATCACACACAAATCTTTAGAAAAGTCAAGTCTTACACCCATGTGATAATTTTTTAGAGATCCATACCAACTTTAATAGTGATCATTTGGGGTCCTACACACATGGGTGAAGGAAGGCCTTATAGGATCATTACTCATATATATTTACAATATAATATATATTATATAAACTTATATTTAACATATAAATAGTATTATAAAATGAGAAATTATACTATGAGACCCTCACATACCCATGTGAGTAGGATGTCAAATGATAACCATTAAATTTGGCTCAAATGTCTAAAAAAGTTATCACATGGGTGTGAGACTTGACTTTTCTAGAGATATTTATTAAATTTGATGGTGATCATTTTGGGTCCTACCCACATAAGTGTGGGAAGGTCTCATAGGATCATTACTGTTATATAATATATAATATGCATATCATTAATAGACGAGAAAAGTTTATATAGAGCCTAGGCTCTAAACAATCAAATTAGAGCCTACCTCAAAACTTTCACTACAATAGGTTGTTTTGATGCCCAAATATCATCAAATTGATCATATCGACATCAAGATGCAAGGACATGAGAAAAAAAAGGATTTCCAAATTTGGAAACGGTGCATCTTGTAACGCATTTTTTATCATCAATTTTTAAGATTTTAAAGTTTTCATAGATCTACTCGATGTACACTATTTTTTAAGCTTTAAATTTTATAATTAAAGCTAATAATATATTTTAAGGCTTTCACAAAGATTTCTAGCATTGAAACCACTTTTCTCGATACTATTTGAAGGTGGGCTTTAATTTTGTTGTTTAGAGCCTTGGCTCTATACAAACCGTACATTAATATATATAATGTATATTACCAAATATATAAAAATGCATAATTTTTTTTCTACATAATATTTAGAGGAAAAATTACAAAAAAACCCCAAGTATACGCTTCTTATGCAACTTACCCCCAGCCAACTTTTTTCTCTCATTTTTTCCCCAAAACATAACACCCCAACCCAAAACAAAAAAAAAAACAAAAAAACTAAACTACCCTAATACTTTTACTCATGCCTCTCTATCCTCTTTCCCTTGTTTTTTTTCAAAATTGCGGTACGACAATCAAAACAAGCCGTTCAAAACTGTGATTTGGCAGAACATACATGTGATCTGGCACCTTTGTTTCAGTCAAAACAATAGTTCGGCAAATAGACATGTGCTCCGACACTTTTGTTTATGGACAAAGGTGCGGTCTGGCAAATTGAACAAGCTGTCTGGCATATTTTTGCTAGAAACAATGCGCTCCGACAAAGAGTGAACGTGATCCGGCATGTTTTTTAGTTTAGGGTCCGGCAGAGAATGAACACAATCCAACATGTTTTTTAGTTTAATGGGTCCGGCAATGGGTTCATGGCGGTCCGACAGCTCATGTGGCTTTTGGTAGTGTACGTATGCTTAGGTGGATGTCTCACCAAAATTAATATTTTTGGTACGAAAAGGGGTATTTTCGTAAAAAAAAAGGTACCTTTTTGTATTTGAGGGTATTTATTAAGAAAGTATATTTTTTTTTAAAAAAGAAAAAGTTGGCTTAGGGGTAAGTTGCATAAGGTTTTTTGTAATTTCCTATATATATATATATATAAATACTTATCTTCAGAAAATATTTACGCACGAACTGTATACGCACATTCCTAGTCCACGTTTTTCTTCCGTTCCCACCCGCACATTCTATGTCTCTCTTATTTTACCCAACGAAGAAAGTACTCGTGCTCTTCATTTAACACTTCGTGCTGTTTTCATTTAACACTTTATGGTGCGGTTTGTATAGGGCCTAGGTTTTAAACAATCAAATTAGAACATACCTTCAAATAGTATTGAGAAATATGATTTTAATATTGAAAATCTTTGTAATAGCCTTGAAATATATTTTTATTTTTATTTATAAAGTCTAAAGCTTCAAAAATAGTATCCATCAAAAGATCTATGAAAATTTAAAAATCTTGAAAGTGAATGGTCAAAAACTGCATTAGAAAATACACTATTTTTAGAACTTAAATTTGTTTTTTCTCATGTCCATGTATCTTGATGCGGAGACGATCAATTTGAAGATATTTTGGCATCAAAACACCACCTTCTAGTCAATTTTTGGAGGTAGGCTAAATTTGATTGTTTAGAGCGTCGGGTCTATGTAATCTTTTTCCTTCATTTAAACCTCAGCGCCGAAGAAGAGAGAGAGAGAGAGAGAGGAGAGTAGTGATAAAAAAGGGGGAAAAGAGCCCGTAGCAAAGCGGCATAGCGAGACCAGAGGCAGCCGCCCAATAAACCCTACACCTCTCTCTTCCCCATTTTCTCTCCCTCCTCCCTTTAAAACATAGTTGAGAGCGAGCAGAGGCAGCCGTTGCATAGCAGAAGAAGCACGAGTGCCCCCAAAAACCGTATCTTTTCCTCTCTCTCTCTCTCCTACCCTTTACTTGTATCTCTTTCTCTCTGTACCATGGTTACGGGCGCAGGGGCATATGAAGGTGGAGCAGGGGGGAAGATACGAAGAAAGCCTCCGAGAAAGCCGAGTACTCCTTATGATCGTCCTCTCTCTCTAAGTGGTCTCAGAAACCCTTCAGACGAGGGGAGAAATGGATGGTTGTCGAAGCTTGTGGATCCCGCTTCAAAGATCATTGCTAATGGTGCTGCAAAGCTATTTTCTTCAGTTTTCAGGAAGCGACTTGGTCCTCCCCCTGCGAATTCTGGTATATGTTTGCGTTGTGTTTGATTGTTTTATTGTGATTTGATTTTAGGGTTTTGTGTCTGGTTTTGCATGGTTAGGGTTTCAGGGTTCCAGGGGCATGTGTTTGCTGTTAAGTTTTGTGGTTGGATTTAGGGTTAGGGTTCGCTGTCATTCAGTTGGTTATGATATCAAATTTCTGCTGTTTTATTGAGATGGGTATGACATGTTTGTTTTTTGCTTTTTGTTATTTTTTGTTATAGGAGAAGAATTTGAATAAACGTACTGTTTTATCTCTGAGAAATGGTGGAATATGACATTCTGTTAATCTCTTGCGAAAATACTGTGTATTTTGTGAAGGTCTGGACCCCTTAGTTTATTCTTTTATTGTTTGTGTTTTTTGATAGTATTTTTCATTTTTTTTAATTGTTAACATTTAGTAGTTATTATCCCTGGATTTTTATTTTAACGGATGAAAAGAGTGCTTTTTATGCTTGTCTATTCTGGTCATTCCGCTGTTATATGAATTTGCGGAATTCGCTCAGTTACACAAGATTACTCTCTTTATCTAGCTACTTTGACTCATGGCTACTCACTCTCTACACCAGGTACAATCATCTTACATTAGTCCTTCTCATTATGTCGAGAAATGGGTGGAAAGGTAGCAGGTCCTTTTTTTTTTTTGAAATGTTAACCTGTAATTGATGAATGAAAAGATACACCAAAACACAACGTATAGGCTATCCACAGGACAGAAGCTCTAATTACAAAAAACCTTTTTGAGAAAAGGGGGTGAGAAAGAAGAATAAAACAGCCATCTTTTTGCAAGTTACATTAACAACAAGCCAAAGCAACCAACAAAAAAGACACCGATCCAAAACATTGATCCTATAAACCATCCAATGTAGCTGCCTCTGTAGCTGGAGTGTCCGCTGCCTGGTTTGCTTCCCTCCAGGTATGCCTCCATAAGACGTGCATATCCCTGCAAAGTTGGTTAATCTCATTAAAAAATATGTGCCCAAACCCAAAGGGGGGGGGGGGAAAGAATTGGTTGCCCAAGTGATAATATCATTGGAATCTCCCTCTATAATAATGGATTCAATCTGGTGAGTTTGAAGAAGCTTTAGCTCTTCCAGTAGTGCTATTGCCTCTGCTTCCATAGAGTCGGTGTGACTGATATATTTTGATATGGAGGTGATAATTGAGCTAGAATGGTCTATGAGGAAAACCTTTGGAAGATCCATTGATGAGAATGAAGAAGAAAGGTTGGGAGCAGCAAGCTTTCATCCAAGATCTCCACCGGCTGCCAAAGCCCATCCTAGTTTGGGTTTCTTCTAAGATTTCCCAGTCTACGTGATCATACGCCTTCTCCCAGTCTAACTTCACAATGAGGCCAGGGACTTCGGCCAGATGCTTGGAGTGTACACATGCATGGGCCACTAGAGCCGCATCAAGAATCTGTCGATCTTTGATGAAGGCACTTTGGGAGGGTGAAATAACCAAGGGGAGGACCTCCTTAAGGCGAGAGGCTAGGACTGTAGAAATGATTTTATAGGTAGAGTTATCGAGGTTGATGGAAGGATAGTCTTTCAGATGTTTGGCTCCTTCTATTTTTGGGATCAAAGTAATGTCAATTGCATTCATCGCTCTTATGTATTACTCCTCTAGAGTGAAATTCTTCAAAGAGGGCAAGAAAGTCGCTACGAAAGGAATCCCAAAAAAGTATGACAGGAGTTAAGGGGTACCCATCTAGACCAGGGGCCCTATCCAAGGCAAGATACAATATAGCTGCTTGGATTTCTACTTCCGAGAGTGGTCTTTCCAACCAAAGAGCTTTTTCAGGTGGCAGTGAAATGTCTGGGTCCCTGAGGGGTTGTGAATAAATTTTTGAAGTAGGAAAGGATAGCATGTTCGATCTCTTGGGGTAGGTCTAAAAGATCATCCCCAACCAGAAGGTGTGAAATGGTGTTGTCTCTACGCCTTCATTTAGCAGTTTTATGGAAGAATGTAGTGTTTAGGTCACCAGGCTTTAGCCACTCGGTCCTAGACCTCTGAAACCAAAAGATCTCCTATTTCTTAAGGATTGTTTGATAGTCGAGTTTGAGTTGGATCCTATTATGAAGTTCAGTGTCCAAAAGGGACATGGATTCTTCCAAAGAATCTAAGGCTTGAATTGCCTGCAGTGTAGAGCTTTTTTGGATCCCGAAAGACCCTAGCAGCAGGCGACTTTAGGATTTTAAATGTCTCTTTAGGAGCTGAAGCTTGCGTTGAATTCTGAAACCCGCCCAACCAACTACCGAATCCGACATAGACTGCCACTAGGAAGGTATAAGAGAAATAAGAGAGATTTCTTCCAGCCATGACAACTCAAATATGAAAGGTTTGGCACCTCTCAAAGGAGGATTCGTATTTAACAAGATTGGTCAGTGGTCAGAGGTAGGTTTAGGTAGGGCTACTGCATGGGATCCAACAAAGGTGGAATCCCACTCCAGACTTACCAAAAATCGGTCGAGTTTAGAAAGAGAAGGAGAGGAAGAGTGGTTAGACCATGTGAATTGAGTTCCTTTAATGCGAAGATCAATAAGGTTGTTTTGAGAAAAGTTGACCTTCCTCAAAAAAGATAAGGTTGTTTTGAGAAACAAAGTCTGAGAAGAGAGTCATAGCTGGAGAAATCCTGGAAGATGTGTTTCTTTCAAAAGGCCCCCTAGTAACATTAAAATCCCTCCCGACGCACCAAATGGAGTGAGGGAGGGAAGCAACTAGGTTGAGATCGTTCCAAAGCAAAGGCTTATGAGAGTCAAGGTTCAGAAAACTTCCACTGGAGACAATTTCGGATTCTGGCAAACAAAACCGAAATGATGCAATGTGGGTAGAGGTAAGTGGGCTGTGGGGTCTCAAATAACCCAAATACCTCCTGACGCCCCTTCGGCAGGAAGAGCTTCCCATTGACAGGGACGACGGCCCCCCGCCCCCCCTCCCACACTTGCTTGACCTGGAGAAGGGAAGGGGAGGGTAACTTGGTTTCAGTTAGAGCAAGGTTTGAGGGGCGGTATTTGAGACAATAATCTCTAGCAACTTGTTTTTTGTGGGGTAAGCGTATCCCTGATGCTGGTTTTAAAACGAAGGGAACTCTAGCTGGGTTGTATAATTGCTAGAGAAGTTGGTTTCTAAATGCTTTGCTGCTGTTTTTTTTTTTCTGATGGTCACTATGACAAACAAAGTCCGTAGAACACTGCCGTATTACATGGCTTGACAAACCACTGGAGCATCCATCAGGAACATTTTCTCTGTATCTTTGTGCTTTTAGTATGTAAAAAATGGCGGGAAACCTTTGATGGAGTTTCTTTTGTGGTATGCTTGCTGTTTCCTGTTTGTAGTTCGATTCATGAATTCAAATTTGAACAATATTACCATCACTTGACAAATCACTGAGACACCAATCGATTATGCTGTGCTTGTATGTGTATTTTTTGTGGGATTGGAAATTTGTCTAGTAGCCTTAAACAGGAGCTAGTTTCATAGTCGTATTTTACTAAGGTAATCAGATAATTAGTTCTCTACAATGTTAATTGGATTGATTCCATGACTTTGAATGTAATGTTGAAATGTGGAGTTCATGTCATTCTTGTGTTATCCACATTTCAGTTTCTCAAGATTATATGTTTAGGAAGCATTTGTTGTTCTCCTTTCTGATTTCTGTTATAATATTTTTGTGACAGATGTTAGACCTGAAGCTAGAAACGAGCCTATCAAAGATGGTTTAGATGTAAGTTGAAATCCCATAACCATGGCTGGAAGTAATTTTTTTTAAAGTTTGCTCAATGGATGAGAAGCGGCTTGGTCGAATTGATGCTTCATAAATGCATGCAGTTGTTGGTAATATATTTCCCATGCAGGCATCGTATCCATGTATTTTATATCTCATAAGGAAATATGCCACTATAGATTTTCATTCATCAAATGGGGATTTATTCTACATAACTGAAATTTAGTCACTTCTTAAGTCACTCATGTTATGCACAATGGTTTTGGCAATTATCATATAAACCTTGAAGAGGAACTAGGAAAGTATAACTTTGAAAATGACCTTCCTTAGAAAAAAAAGAACTTAAAAAATTATTAGAAAGAAATGCGGTCGATCATATTCTTCCTGCTCATGTTTTCTGACATAATTAAAGTTCAATGTATCTTTCACTATGTTTGTTTCAATTAATCTGCACTTGATTATCCTTTCCATTACTTACTTAAAATATGGAGGAAATGATGTTTGCGAAAACTAATAGAATTAAATGCTTATTGGTTTTTTAGCATTCTTCTTTCTATCCTTTTTTTCCTGATTGCATGCCTTCTGGCTTCTTGGCATAATTTTATTTCAATTAATCAGCGCCAATTGTCCTTTTTCTAATTTATTTCATGATAACAAGGTGAAATTAACTCTGATTATATAAAATAAAATAGATATTTAAAAATGATCACCATATCAATGCATTTGCACAAGTTTATGTCAAAAAGACTTTTGTTTACGTTACCTTTCATGCAAGGTTTCAAATTGGTGTGAAAACTTTGTTTATGTTACCTTTCATGCAAATTGGTGTGAAAAATTTTGTTTACGTTACCTGTCATGCAAGGTTTCAAAAAACGCTAGGCGGCCTGCATGGCGCCCAACGCCCAGAACCTCGGGCGCCCCGTAGTTTTAAAAAAACGAGAAACGCCTTACGTCCCTGGGCGCCCGCCTAGGTACATCCGCCCGTGCAGGGCCGCCTGGGTCTAGGCGGGCGGATTTTTGGTCCAGGCCGCCTAGGCAGGTGCCCAGAACCTCGGGCGCCCCGTAGTTTAAAAAAAAATGAGAAATGCCTTACTTCCCTTGGAGCCCGCTCAGGTACATCTGCCTGTGTAGGGCCGCCTGGGTCTAGGCGAGTGGATTTTTGGTCCAGGCTGCCTAGGCGGGCACCTAGGCACCAGGCGGACCTTTTTTAAAACATAATTTCATGCCATTGGCTTCAAATTTACTTGTTAGACTTATATCTTAGTTTGATTTCCTCCTTTTTGCGGTAAAATTCCATTCCATAACAGAATCCCATCATTTTCATTAGTAATACAACTTTGGAATTGACCATGACTTATAAAAGAAAAGAAAATTTTGTTATGGATCACATTTTCATTGAATAACTGTCTCTTAATATTAGGAATCGTTGTAATTCCTGCCTTCCCTATTTTTTGAGAAATAATTTCATAAAAGATGAGAATTTCTTCAAATGCGTATAGCAGAACTTCACTGCATAATGTTTTTGTAAGTGGTATCTGGAAATCATTTATCATATCTTAAATATAATATGTCACATTTTGAATTTTTTACATTAATCCATTGTTTTGTCCCTGCAATGCTACACAATGCACTTGTGTTTCTATTATATTTTGATGAAACTGGTTGATTTTTGTAATAGAATGATGGAAATATCCGAGCTTGCTACAAATGATCTAGAATAATGATTGTTCATCATGATTTAGATCAATGATTATTCATCATGTATGATACATTTTCATTTTGCGTTTCTCTTCGTTACATTCTGCTATATTTTTCCTCATTTAGTGCAGTGCATATGCTTCTATTTACCATATTGCTTCTAGTTTTTTTGAATTGTTCTTGAATTTGCTCCTTTCGCTTTGGGCAAAGCCCCCTATGTCTTCGGGTTTTGCTTAGCCACCAAAGGGAAGGTAACGAGGCAACACTTGTACCAAATCTTTTTGAAAAAAGCTTATTAATTGTCTTATGTACTTGTGGGTTAAAATGTATAAACAATGACATGCTACACGTGTAAGGTGCTAATTTTGAGGAAAATACTTTCTTATATTTTTTTGAGTGAGAAGTAAGAGTGGGAAAGACCTTGCCATGTGTACATATGTACTTTTATTAAGGAAGAAAAGAAAATTTTAAAGAGAAGTAGAGAAAAAATTCCTTTATATATGTTTAGAGAGAGAAAATGGGGAAAACAGTTCTCACTCTAGATGACTAAAGGATTAAGAAATTTTAAGGATGAAAAAGTATTTACTTTTAAAAATTAGTTCCATAAAAAATTTATTAAAGTGAGATCTTGCTTTTAAATTTATAAATTTTTTGATATTGTTCTTATATGAATTATTCAATTGAATTTTAAATGTGCTTGAGACCTCATGAATTGGCCGAAGTGCCTAGGTGCTACTTTTTTTGGACCAAAATGTAGAGGCTTCCAAAGTAATGTGATAACGTTGATATTTTTTTTTCTTCTTTTGGTATGCTGTTAATTAATTCCTTAAAAATAAAAAATTTATTATTTCAACAATGATCTTTTTAGCTATTAGTGTACTGGTTATCACCTGATTGTTACGTGGTGTATTTAGATTTAGATGGCTGAGCTTCCTCGTATCACTGCTGTTTTTCCGTGATTTTTTCACAGAATCCTTTACTTGTGGAACCAGAGCAAGTTACAGACCAGCGGGAAAAACAGGATGATGCTCTTGACAGCACTGGGTTTAATGAACTTGAGGAGTTGCTAAAGCAGAAGACGTTTACAAGGTAAGTAATGGCTGTGATGTAGTGATGCAATATTTAGCATGTATCTATTTGATCTGGTTGTTGGAGTGGGATTGGAGCCTGCATGAAATCACACTGGTGTCTTTGTCAATAGAAAACTGTAGAATAGTAGGCAAACTGTGTCTTCTTATTAAAATTGTCAATTTTTCTAATGGTTTAGATGCTAAAGCAACAACGTTCTGATTGTGATAATGCAAATGTAACTCGTGTCCTATGGAGGGTTTGCAGTGTTAGAGTTTAATATCAATAACAGGGGCAAAGTTATTGATCATTACTGGACTAGGAGTTATTACTGGGATTATGAACTCTGCATAGGTTTGAACTTGGTGGTTTACCCTTACAGCCAGTACATTGGGACCCTTGCTTGTGCCTATGCTTTCTGTTGCAGTTTTTGTCAGTTACTTGCATTGCTTTTGGTGTACTTTATCCCGAGAACTTGCTACTGTTGTTTAGGGAAGAGTTTGATCGCTTGTCAGAGTTACTACGTTCACGCACTGTTGATTCTTCTTCTGATGAAAGTAAAAGGGTTGGGCTGAACACATTAGAGGCAACAGTGAATCCTGAAAGGCAGAGTAATTTGGAAATAGTTGTGGAAGAAGGGACAAATCCCTGGCAGAGCAGTAATCCTGGAAACGTGGTGACTCCTGCTGTCCATTCGAGTGTAAGTTATTGGTATTGCTTCATTGTATTTTAAATTCTCAACATGTTGTACATAGACTCGTTTACGTACTCTGCTTTATGTAGACTCATTTCTGTAAAAAAGACATGTATATTTTTGTAAGTCAAATTTGATAGTTAAGTATAAAAAAGTTTTAGCATTTTAGTTTGTTTCCAAAACAATGTGTAGATCTCTTTTTGTATTAAGAGCATGTTTGGTACGCGTGAAAATACTTCCCGGGAAGTAAAAAATCTCCCTCATGTGATTAGGTGTAAGAGAATTTTCACACTAACTGGCTGCCAAATCAGTGGGACCAATTGGTGTTAAAAAACTCCCATACCTAAACACATGAGGGAATCTTATCATGTGAAAATACTTCCCAGGATGTATTCTTACATATACTAAATGTGCCTTAAAGTACATTTACTAATCTGATTGGCTAATTATCAAACCCCAGATATCCCGAAGAGTTGAGCACGTACTAGTAGCCTGCATCTTTGGAAGATAAATGGTAAAATTTGGTTCGTGAAACGAAATTGATGCTTATCAGTTGTGAATAAATGAAGTAATGAACTGCAGAGGTTCTCTGCATGATTTTTGAAGAAGCTTCAGTGTTGCTAAGTTTTAAATTTATATTCTGTGGAGTTTTGTCAGTTTTTGTTACCTTTATGACTTTATTTTGTTTTTCCCAGATGAATGATCATTTTCTTCATCGTTGAGTGGCCATATTTATAGTAATTGTCTTTTAAAAGTCAAGGTCTGTGTCTATTTTAAATTCGGTAACATTACAGGCGTTTCAGAAAATATGTGGTTTCATTGCCACTGCAGAACTGCTGTATCTATTAATATTTAGAATCCAGGGTTGATCACCTTTTGAATATCAGGGTTCATACATGCATCATAAAATGCTTAGGTTCGTCTATTTCTTATTTCATGTTTTTAGGGATACTTTTTAGTTATGTTTATTTTAAAAAACTGGAGTATTTTATGGTTTCTTATCATGTTTGCCACTTATGTACCAGTTTATCGAACTGAACTTATATGATCTTTTACCCATTAAAAAGGATAACTTCACGTGTTCTTCGTCTGTTATTCATATGCAGATATTATCACAGATCCCTGATGATGTCGGTGCATCACCAGCAGAAATTGCAAGAGCTTATATGGGTGTCAGGCCTTCAAGAGCATCACCATCTTCCTTTGGTTTACGAAGTCACCCTCTGAGAAGAGATGTATCTATGATAAGGAGCACAACATATGCCCCGAAATCAGTTGACCTGTCGCTCACATCAAAATCATCTGTACGCTTTTCTGGTTTTCCTGGACTTGCTGAAGATGGCTATCTGACCCCAACCCGTGGTAGATCTACCCTTTATAATGCGATCCGAACACCTTATTCTAGACCAGTTGGTCTTACTGATCAAGAGGTATAATACTGCCTATGATATTGCTCAATTATTTGTATGATTACCTCTTTATTTATGCCAGTTTAATGATTTAATCGTATTGCTGTACCATTGTATTACCTCACTGTTCTATGCAATTGCAATATTGAAGTACTTCCTCATAAATTTTAGGGTAGTGCTAATGGGTATGCGGGTCCCTCAACTCCATCTTATTGGACAACAGCAAATGGTTCTTCTGGGGGCAGACAGGTGATTCCCTATATTTTGTATGTGGGTGTGTTTTGTTTATACAATCTGATTCCAAGGAAGTTAAAATTTGGACAAATATATGCAAGAAGAAAGAACTATATTACTGCAAACGTGGGATCTTTTGATTGAAGACATGTGTATATTGGGGATTACTGGTTCAGTGGGTCCTCTTTTCTCTGTTAAATCTTGAGTCACTGTGCTTGTTAACTGCTGCAGTAGTTGGGGTTATGATTTGTGACTGCTAATATAGTTATCATCCTGCTTTAATATTGTATGCATTTCCGTACTTTGTTACCTTTGTGGAGATTCTTAAATGCTCACACAGGAAGTTATCTAACTAGCCACCAGAGAAGCATGTACTTCAATACGCTTTCAGAGGATTTTTTTTTCTTTTTATGATTGGTCAGTTTTAGAGGAGATTTACAGATATATTCATTTCATGCCTTGCCTGGGACAGTTTTCTTACCCTTAGGGCGATGGCATTATTAAGAAGTGACTTCTCTTTACCACATTTATTGGACTGAGTTGTTATGTGGATTCTGTTCCTATTTCCTGAGAATTTCCTGAGGATGATACTGGTTATATTTATTTTTTCGCTGCACTTATTCTTTTCTTGCTAATGAGAAGCTAATTTTAAAGAAAAGAAAAGAAATGTGAGATACAGCGTCGGTGTTTAAAAAACATTATGGGTATTGGCTCACCAAGGCAAGGCGGATGCTGATGGTCAACAATGAGTGGTTTTAGTGGACCTGGATAGACTTGGTCAAGACTTGGATCATCCAGAACTGGTGTAGTGCCTGCCCTGAGTGACTCGGATGAGTCCGGCTTGCGTGAGACCCACTCAAGGGGTTTCTAAACACTGAATTAGTAGAATGCAATTTAGAAATATGTTAGTGAACTACCCACTGTCTACTTTTGAAAGTAGTGTCATTTTTTATGCTTTTGGTAGCCCTTTAGCTTAACTAAAAGGGCATATGGCATTTTATGTTCGACAAATCATTATTTGAAAATGCTTAAGATGACAATTAGGTTAAGAGGATGTTCTATGAGAAATTAATGATATTGCTACTCAATTTGACTCAATGCTCTCTTGCAAGCTTTCCGGTATTGTGGATTTTCCTTAAGTATTAGCAAGAAACATCCTGACACATTATGTGTTGATTATAACTTGTATTGTTACACCCCCTAACATAATTCGAATGAAATGAAGAGGGGGGCTGACCGCTGAGCCCGCGCTGGCCTCACAGGGCAGGCCCCAGTGGGTGCGAGCTGGAGCTGCCATAGCTTGATTTGCATTTGAAATTATTAAAAAGAAAAAAATCATTATTGGTTGATAATGTCACAATCCAAATAAAAAAACATGAAGTGTTGATAAAGGAGTACTTGTGAAAATGTGATGTGGTTCTATTTTTGACAAATATAGCTGCCAATATCAATGCAATTTTCTTTTAGCAATTAAAATGTGGTTGTTATGATGCCTGCCGGATTGACTCAGAAATGAATAGATCGTTAAAGATTACTTTTTCTCATTTTGAACCCAGGTATCCGATCACATTTGGTCCCAATTTTTATTATGGCATCTAGGTTTTCATTAATGATAAGAAAAGGCTAGATTGTCATTTTTATGGCAATTTCTTGGTTATTGCAGGAATGGGGTCGGGGTCGTGGTGGGTAGTACCACCTGAGCCCCAATTAAAAGTCTTGCCCTCCATTCCCACTAACGGACTAAAAAATTGACTATTTCAAAAAACGGGTAGGGGCTCGTCATCCCCACTGACTTACCCAAAAAAATTTCTTGGATATTGCTCACAAGTAACCATGGTGCATGAGACTTGGCCATTCTTACTTGTTATAAAAGGTCTGGTTGAATAACTAGTTAGTTGGGTTACATATAATTTGTTCTTGGTGTTTATCAGGTTCTGAAGAGGAGGAGTTCTGTTATGGAGAATGGTTTTGGGTCAGTTGGAACCATACGAAGGATACGCCAGAAGTCTAACTTGATGGTGCTATCGAAAGCACCCAATGCTTCAGTTCCTGCAAGTAGTCCACTTCCTCTGCTCCTTCCTGGTTCTGATGCTGATCAAAACTCATTTGTACCTCCAAAGTTAGATGTGCCTGAAAGTAGTACATCCAAATCCCAGGCTGATGGGAATGGAGAAGAGAGAGGGGTTGTTATGGTTCCTCAGCAAACCAGAGAGACAGTGAAAAGAATATTTGCAGGGCTTGACAAGATGTTTCCTTCTCCTAAGGACAAGTCTTCTGAACTAAGGCTGGCTACTGGAGCACCCACTAAGTTGACCCCTGATATGTTGCAAGGGCAGGCCAAAAGAAGCATGGAGATTGTAGATTTTCCAAAATTACCTAATTTACACGGCAATTGTTTGGATGCTCACAATGGTACTCAGTCTCATGGTCCTACTGTTGATAAAAGGAAAGAGATGGGTGTTGCAAATGGCCCTTTGAAGATTGTTGAGGGAAGAAGAGAAGGGACCGAATCTCCGGATACAAGAAACTCTAATGTTGCAGCAACTAATGCCATTTCTGGTGTGGTGAGTGTAGATACAGCAAGTCAGGCCATTTCTACAGCAAAACCTTCACGGAAGAGACAAGGATTCCAAATGAGTGCACCTGAGGTATGTCACTGAGAGGCTCGTGTGTTTTGTATGAGACTTACTGCTCCTGGTTGGCATCATGTCCAGGCTCTCTTTTGAAAGTGCCTTGAATAAGCAAACAGTTGATTGGCATTTGCCATTTTGGCTAAGTATCTTAACGTAAGTTTTTTATATGTTATTGCAAATTGTTTTTTTGGCTAATATTTAGAAGTCTTGGGGTAATGGAATCCTTGGTAGGTTGCTTCTATGTTCCACAGTTCAGTAAATTTTAATTGCTTCACATACAATAAAGGATTTGAACTTTTTTTCTAACAAAGAAATTTTTTTATTTGGTGGAGTTGAAACCGTATCTTATTTCCAACACATTTTGTTCTGTTCCATTCGCAAGCAGATTCACAATTTAGCTGTATCCCACTAAAAAGTATTAAAAAGAGAAAAAAAAGTAGATGTCCAACCCCCATTATTGGAAATGGTCCCTGATTCCTTTTGTTCTCTTTTGTACAAGATTTCTTTGTGGATTGTATCTATTTTCTGCCGATGACATATTTTCTGGTTATTTGACTCTTGTGATCTTAGCTAAAAATGACTTGAGTGGCTTTGGTTATTTTTATGCCGCTTGGTCGAGTTTCAAGTGATGAAGTTTGAAACGCAGACGAGTTTCTTTGTTAATCTTTTTAGTAGGAAGATTTCTTTGAGGATAGTGTTGTTTCTTTTACTGCACGCTAATCCCTGTAATCAGCTGTAATCACCTGACCTCTGAATAATGTGATTCATATGGCTTGATCATCTTTACACTTTTATTTGTTTCATTTCTTTGTGAAGGTCTCGCTAGACCCAGATGAAGGTATCTATGGCGGCGGTCAAATGCCCTCACCCAAGAAGCAGGGACCTCCAGGATCTGAAACATTTGCATTGCAGATGCCATCTGGCTCAAAGAAAGAAGCTTCCCTTCGTGAACCATTTACTTTACCAAAACCACATGGCTCAGTACAAAATGCTTCCACTTCTGAAGCAGTTCCCACCCCAAAGCCTTTGGTGCCCTCGGCACCTGTTGAAAAGCCTGCCTTGAGCTCTACCCAGCTTGCAAGCCTTGACACAAAAGCTACTTCTGGGCCTATTGTTTCTCAAAACAACTTGGGTTTCACTTTCCCTGTTACTCCTTCCAGTCTGTATTCAGAAGCACCTCCAACACCTACTACCTCACCATTTTCAATGCTAGATAAACCAGTTCAGCCCAAGGAAAAAGCTTCCTCCCAATTTGGTTTTGGTTCTACAAGCACTGCCAAGGTTCCTGCTTTCTCGATTCCCTCCTCGCCTGCTATCTCGGATAGTTCGAGTCTGAAATTTGGTGCAGGAACATCTGTTTTGGATGGCTCGAGTTTCAAATTTGGTGCAGGAGCAGTATCTTCTGTTTCACTAGGTTCCAATATGAAATTTGGTGAGAAAACAACGCCTTCTATTCCAGATGGTCCCACTCTGAAATTTGGGGGGAGAACATCTCCTTTGATGTCAGATGCTACTAATCTGAAATTTGGTGCTGGAACAGTGCCTTCTGTTTCAGATGGGACCACTGAGAAATTTGGTGCAGGAACAGGAACTACTGCTCTGGATGGTTCGACCCCAAAATTTGGTGTAGTAACAGTTTCTGCTGTTTCGGATGGTTCGAATGTGCAATTTGGTGGAGTATCAGGATCTGGTCTGAAATTTGGTACTGGATTGGAGAGGAATGGACAGACTTCTGGCAGGTTAGAGTTGAAATTCTATCTCATCCGCTAACTAGTCTTTGTTCCTGGTTTCCTTTGTTTTCTTCACTTAGGTTCTGTATTATACTTTTCCCACATTTTATTCAACCCCCAAAAAAAAGGTGCTGTGTTACATGGACATCTACTCTAGTGTTGGCTTGGACTTGTGGTTAGCAGTTCACTTTAGCAAAGCTATATCTCAAGTTTAAAAACATCTCTGTATTCCATTCCATATGAATAGCCCATTTTCTCAAATTACGACTTGCAATTTCAAAATAAACCAATGTATAAAACTCATTTTGGAGGAGGTATGGAAAGAACGAAGCAGAGATTTAATGATTGAAAGCCAATCAGATCTTTCAGAGGAACAGGGAATGCAACCAAGCATTTGATAAGCTTGCTGTTAGCTCATCTGTTGTAAAGGTAAATTTGTGGCATCACTATCCAATTTAAAAACATCTCGGTATTTTATTCCATTTGACAATGAGACATAACATGTTCAACAATAGAAAAAGAGAGTACAAATTTGCATTTAGGGGTTAAGCTGACAGAAAACATCAATTTACACCTGAGCAACATTACCTAGATATGCCACTCTTCCTTTGGTGTTGCCTATCAACATGTATTGACACTATGACAGATGCTGACATTTTCAGATATCGTGTGAATCAAGACAAATAAATCAGGAAGTATTTTGAAGCCTGAGGTTTGAACTCAATGATTTTTTAAAGGGAGGTAGTAAGTTCTACCACCACAAAAAGTTCTACCACCACAAAAGTCACATGGACTGTGTAAATGGCATGCAACTGGTTTTTTATAGAGTATTAGATAGTGCTATTTAATATAAAAAAATATGAAACATACTCCCTGAAGTTCTAACACGGGGGACTTCTCCATGAGAGCAATAAGCTCCAACACTCCAAACATTGTGGGTTTATGTGAATAACTACCAAAAAATTTATTATATAAACCTATTATTTGATATAAACCAATATTACTTAATATAAGATAATACGGTTGTGATTTGTATAAGGTGTACACCCTAAATCAAAGTAAGGTGCACCTTAAAACCTGTTGAAAGATTCGATTCTGGTACCACAAACCTTGCAATCACATGAAAAATCCCTAATCATGAAATTTAAAGCTCCAAACATGTAAAGATCGAGCAGGTCTATGAATGCCGAAAGCCTTGAAAATAGGTGGTCCAAATAATGTGTTCTAAGATGCATTATTTTTAGCACCCCAAAAAAAAAAGGGAAAAAGAGAATGTGTTGGTGTCCAACATGTGTCTATAGAGTGTAGTCCATCCAAAAAATATGATAGCTATCAAAGTAAGGTGCTCCCCAAAAACCCACCAAAAAGATTGTTAAAATGCTGCAAAACTCTCTATTGTCATCTCAACCTTGAGATGCCTTATTATGAAAAAATAATATAAATTCATGTCCTAAAAATAATGCATCTTGGAACACTGTATTTGAACCGTCTATTTTCAAGATTTTTAGGTATTTATAGACCTGCTTGATCTTTACATGTTTGGAGCTTTAAATTTCATGATTAGGGATTTTTCAGTGATTGCAAGTTTTGTGGCACCAGAATCGCATCTTTCAGCAAGTTTTAAGGTGCATCTTACTTTGATTTAGGATGTACACCTTATACAAACCACAACCGTATTATCTTATATTAAGTAATATTGGTTTATATCAAATAATAGGTTTATATAATGAACTTTTTGGTAGTTATTCACATAAACCCACAATGTTTTGAGTGCTGGAGCTTATTGTTCTCAAGGAGAAGTCCCCTATCTTATATTAAGTAATATTGGTTTATATCAAATAATAGGTTTATATAGTGAACTTTTTGGTAGTTATTCACATAAACCCACAATGTTTTGAGTGCTGGAGCTTATTGTTCTCAAGGAGAAGTCCCCTGTGTTAGAACTTTAGGGAGTATATTTCATATTAAATAGCACTATCTAATACTCTATAAAAAACCAGTTGCGGAGAAGTCCCCCGTGTTAGAACTTCAAAAAGTATATTTTATATTAAATAGCACTATCTAATACTCTATAAAAAACCAGTTGCATGCCATTTACGCAGTCCTTGTGACTTTTGTGGTGGTAGAACTTACTACCTCCCTTTAAAAAATCATTGAGTTCAAACCTTAGGCCTCAAAATACCTCCTGATTTATTCGTCTTGATTCACACGATATCTGAAGGCGTCAGCATCTGTCGTAGTGTCGATAGGCAACATCAAAAGGAGAGTGGCATATCTAGGTAATATTGCTCAAGTGTAAATTGATGTTTTCTGTCAGCTTAACCCTTGAATGGAAATTTGTACTCTCTTTTTCTATTGTTGAACATGTTCTTTCTCATTGTCAAATGAATGGAGTACAGAGATATTTTTAAATTGGATAGAGATGCCACAAATTTACCTTTACGACAGATGTGTTAACAACAAGCTTATCAAATGCTTGGTTGCACTTCCTGTTCCTCTAAAAGATCTGATTGGCTTTCAATCATTAAATCTCTGTTTTGCTCTTTCCATACCTCCTCCAAAATGAGTTTTATACATTGGTTTATTTTGAAACTGCAAGTTGTAATTTGAGATAATGGGTTATGTATATGGATCTCTTTTCTTTTGTTTGTTGTTTTCCTTCGTATCATAACCCAAAGAACACAGCATATCTGATAAAGGAATTGGACCATCACTCTGCAGTAATGCTGCTGTTGCAACATCATCAGTATCTCCACCTGTGAACACAGGATCAGTGGAGCCCAATCAAACAACTCAGGCGCTTGGAGAACCCCTGAAACCCTCTGAAAATGCCCCCACGACCTCAGGCACCAAGCCTGAGCAATCCCCAACACCTCTGAATTCCTTATTTTCTAACTCTTCGCCTACCCCTATTGATCAGACATCTTCAGTGCCATCTTTTTCGACCTTCAGTTCATCTTTTCCGTCGCCTTCATTTCAGTTTGGTTCTAGCTCCACCATATCTTCCACCTCAACAACAATGGCTAGCCTCCAGCCCACGACCACGGAGTCAAAGCCTTCACCATTGAGTGGTGCCACTGGGGCCTCTTTCCTGGCTGCTACAAACTCTTCATTTGGCTTGTTTGGCCAAAGTGCACCCAACTCAGGTGTCTTTGGCTTGACTAACTCAGCTGCCATCTCCCAAACTTCACCACAGTCTGGGTCCACTGCTGTCCCTCTTTCCTCGAGCTCACCTTTCCAGTTTGGATCCGCTTCATCTCAGTTTGGCTCAAGTGGGTCCCTGTTTGGGTCATCTTCTCCTTCTACAGCAGGGAATTTATCTGCATCCGGGTCTGGGGGTGCCACAGCTACTAGTATTGGGACTGGGTCGGCTCCTCCTCCGTTTAACTTTGGCTTCAATGCATCTTCTTCATCAAGTGGTGTGGCTGCGTTTAGTTCGAGCAGTAGCAGCCCCGCTTTCCAGTCGTTTGGGTCTTCTACAGCACCACTCTTCGGTTCTGGTTTTGGCACATCAGCCTCTACCGGCTTCTCTTTTGGGGGGTCATCAGCCTCGATGAGTTCCCACTTTTCAGGGGCCTCATCGGCGCCCACTAGCACCCCATTCACCTTTGTTTCCACACCCTCATCAGGGCCTGTCTTCCCATTCACATCTTCGGCAGCGACCCAATCCCCCAATCCTTTTCTGGGGCAGGGTTTTGGTGCATCGGCTTCACCAATGAATAATAGTGGCAATAACAGTAACAATAATGATCAGATGAATGTTGAAGATAGCATGGCTGAAGATACGGTCCAAACAATGCAGCCATCACAGGCCATGATCTCGGCATTTGGGTCTCCGAGCCCAAGTTCGAGTTTTGTGTTTGGTGCTCCGAGTGCAACTCCTACAGGTGGTCCAGCACCCTTTCAGTTTGCGGCTACTCCATCTCCAATTGGGGCTGGAGGGAGCTTGGAGTATGCAGGTGGGAGTTTCTCAGTTGGGGCTGGAGGTGACAAGTCTGTTCGCAAAATTATTAGGGCAAGGAGAGACAAAGTCAGGAAAAAGTAGGTGGTTTGGTTCTGGGTGGAAATTTTCTTCGAGGGTGTTTTTTGCATAGAGACCTCAGGAAAAGGCGAGAGGATGTGGGCCTGAGATTGGTGCTTTTAATCACCGGACCATGGTTTCTCTGAGACAGTTTGCATCATAAAGATGGGTGGCTTTATGGTGTGATTGTTTTCCCGCAAGTTGTAAGTGTCGGAGAGGTGGCATTTCTGTCGTTCTTATTGCTGGGTGAAGGCACGGCGAAAGTCGGATCAGGCTCCTGTGATAGGATATGGTAACCATAATTCTAGTGTTTCGTGTTACTTTTTGAGTAATATATTTTTCTTTTCAATTTTGCTCTCTCTCGCTCTTAGAGGACCTGCTGTACTTCCAGTTTCGTTGCGCATGCTGATGCATGCGGTGTATGCTGTGTATTTTCGCCTTTTTGTAACATAAATACTGGCATGTATTAACTTGGCACAGAGTTCCATGTCTGTGGGCTTATTCATTTTTCAAGGATATATTTCTCTTTTTCCTTCGGACCCTAATTTCCTTCTTCTGTATTCTTATACTTTTTTCCGGTCATGTTATTTCTCTGGTTAGATGGAAAAAAGGTTACCTCAGTTGGCTTGATCTTTGGGACAAAATTCAAGTGTCCCTATAGTCCTTTACTTCTTGTCACAAACTTGGAAATATTAATGTATTTAGAAATAATTCATCGGGATCATGCACCTAATTTTTATTATTTATTATTGCATGTTATTGTTTAATGTCTTTTGGAATTATGTACATTGAACTTATTTTTTCTTTGATTTTGACTTTTAATTTTCATTATATATTTTTTCATTATGTTTCAATATTTCTTATTTTATAAGCTAGCAAAATATGCAATGAAAACATTTACTTTTAGTATGAGGCCGTCACAATTACTCTTTAACCATTCATTGGATGTTAAATTGATTGGTTGTATATTATTCGAAAATAATTTTTTTCAAACTTTGTGACAGCCAAACTATGGGATTTCAGTAATTGTGACCTTGTATCAACGATAAACGGTATACAATCCTTTATATTCTATAGTATCATTTAATTCAAAAAAAAAAAATATAAATCTAAAGGCTATAGATCGACCCGCGGAGTTTTTGAAAACTTGAAAATGAGAGAGCAACATCGAAAGGGGTAACCCTAATTGTTCATGTTGGCCCATATTACTTGTCTACACATAACCCAAGAGGACCTTGCCTGACCGCACAAACTACAACTACCTACAAATCAGAACCTTTCCACAATAAGACTGCTAGCATACGCACCCAACTTTGCAAGTCCATCCGCTCCCATGTTACTTTCGCGGTAAATATGTTTAACAGTACACTCTAAATCTGTGCAGCAATCATTCACTTCAATAATTAGTTATCGAACCTCCATGGATACTCTACTTCCTTATTTAACTATTTCACAACATTCATAGAATATCCTTCTACTTCCAACGGTCTTGGAAAAATCTTAACCAGTTTAATCCCTTGAAGCACTGCACGAAGCTCAGCTTCATTCGCAGTCACCGCACCTACTGATCCATGATACTTCAACAAGACTTAACCTTCCCAATCTCTAACAATTCCCCATACACCTCCTTGATCAGGATTTCCAAAAGAGAATCTATCAAAATTAAGTTTTATCCAATTAATACTTGGACATTTCTATCACCCTATCCTCATTTTCTTCTTAGATCTCTCACTTAGTAACACTTTGATATTATACATCATATCTAATCTCGAAACACCCCACCATTCTTTGTTAATACTTCAAAGCTTTGCTACCCCCACTCAAATTTTTTCTATGAACTCATTAAGAGATAAGCTTTTACTCTCAAAGCATCTCCTATTCCTCTCTTTCCATATCTCCCACACCACCATAGCCTTAACAGATTTCCATATTATTCTACCCTTCTTACTGATTCCTATTTTCATCCAATCACCTAACAGACCATCAATGTCAGTTGTACAGATACCACTGAGACCCACCCATACTAACACCCAACTCCATACAGCTTTAGCAAATGAACAATTTAGAAACAAATGATCAATTGATTATGCTTCCTTTTTTGCATAATATGCACACGTCACTAACATCTTTCTTTTTTTCCTTAACATAGCAATAGTTAAGATTCTTCGCAATTTTAATAACCACAAAAAAGCACAAATCTTCAATGGTATAGGTCATTTCCACAGTTTCCTGCTTCTTTATCAGACCATCTAACTCTTATCATCAAACTGTAATTTGTATGCTGAACTTACTGTAAAAGAACCATTTCTGCTCGGCTCCCACACAATTTTATCTTGTATATCAGGGCAATAATACACTCGCTGTAAAACACACATGAGCACTGCATATATTCATTTATGACAACTTCACTAACCCTTCTAAATGACCAGTTCACATTCCACCTTAAAGAGACCTCTGCCTTCCACCGTTCTTTAAGGTTTATCTTTAACGAGAAACCTTAAACAGAGAGAGTTGTTTTGTACTTTTCATACTCCATGAAAATCTCGTTCGAGAGAGAGAGAGAGAGAGAGATGGGTTTTGTAGATTTTATTTGGCACGAGTGTAGATGAGCTTTCCCTCTTGGTCTCGTAAGTGCCTTATCATGAGACCACATTCACAATGGACAATCCTAGACTTCTAACTGGGCTTCATTTAATTGTAAATCCATCAAAATATTCACACTGCAACACATAAAAATATATGCCTATTATAACTAAATTTCTGACAACTATTACTACACAAATTTCACTTAGGAATTGCTAAGTAATAGGTCATTACTACACAAATTTCACAAAGGAATTGCTAGGTAATATGTTATTACTACACAAATTTCAGTAAGGAATTGCTAGGTAATAGGTTTTAAATCTATGAGCTACAAATCACTCACCGAGCAAATTTTCACAATAACAATTTAAACACTCGGAAGAAAAGAGAGACTTTGGGACAATTCTGATTCACTTGTCTCTGCAATTTTAGACACCACTGTAAACTATGAAACCAATTTGTTCATGGAAAAGTTTATTCATCATCAGAAATTATTTTCTACAAAATATTAATTGTTGGAGGACGTAATCTACACGACACATATTTACCTGGTTAAATACCAAGACCCACTTTACCATATATTTTAACATTGCAATATATTTTCTTTTTGGCTTTTCAAGAGAAATTATATGAGAATTTTTTTTAAGAGATACGACATCCGAGATGGAGCAACGAGATATGCTTGTCACTACCTCTCTATTTGCGTCTCTCCCTGGGCACCTTGTACAAACCTTTCCCTTTAGGTCCATTCCATCTATTGTAAAATGATAGTCTTTTGAAATTATTGTGAAACTAAAAAATAACAGACATATTTTTACGCTTCAAAATTGCTAAATAGTATTTTTAAAATTAGTCGGATTAGGACATAGCATATGGAATGCAAATTTAGTAGTAATAGGGGTGGAGATGATGAAGTAGTTAAGATTGACCTCCAGGAAATACCAAAATAACGTACTTTTGGTATCTTGGTTTGATAATCCTAGAAATTGAGAGATTGAGGAAGCTGTTGCACATAGAATTAGAGTTGGGTGGGCAAAGTGAAGATGTTGAATCGAAATTTTATGTGATTACCACATACCAATGAAGTTGAAAGGTAAGTTTTATAGAACAACTGTGAGACCAGCTTTGCTCTATGAAACGGAATGTTGGGCAGTAAAAAAATAATATACCCGTAGAGTAAGTGCAACAGAGATGAGGATGTTGAGATATATACGCGGCAATACAAGAAGGGATAAAATTTCGAAATGAATACATTCGAAAAAATTTGGGCGTGGTATCAATAAGTGATAAGTTGAAAGAAAGTAGACTAAGGTAGGCTGGCCATGTGTAGTGTAGATCCAATGCAACAGTTGTTAGGAGGTACGAGTTAGTTTAAGTAGAAGACTAAAAAAGAACAAGGGGTAGGCCCAAAAGGACATAGTTGGAACTAGTGACAAATGATATGGGGACTTATAGCCTCATTGAGGGCATAACTCTTTATATAGCAGAATGGCGGACCATGAATCATGTAGCCCATTCCAATTAGTTGAGAGAGCTTTGACGATGATGATGATGATTTTTGGGTTTGAAAAATACGATTTATTTCAAAATAATATAGTTTTGAAGAATTTTAGAGAGAGAAAGGAATTTATGAAAAGTAATTATACCCCACACTAACATTGTGGTGGTTCTTTCATTATATATATAATAATATTATAATGATATAATGAACACTTTCCTATCTTGTTATTTGCAATATACAATTTGCAATATATAATTTTCTATCTTGTTACATTCTCTCAAAAGGAAAGAATAATATTTCTCTTGTTGCCTTTTCAAAACTAGAATTCTTGAATTTTGTTTTTATTAAGTTTGAAATGTGGTTTTTATTAAGTTTTAGTAATGGGAGAGAAAAAGTGGTGGGTTTTAGTCCCATTTGTCTACCTTTATGTAAGCTTGCATGTTTTCGTGCATTTTCTTATTGTGACCTTCTGTGTTTTAGATACCTCGAGAACTGTTTGCCGAGTTGAACTTTTTAAACACTGAAATTTAAGAGTAAGGAGAAAATACAGTCTTGAGTGGTTGTGTTTTAGCATGGCACTTAACAGAAAGATCTTCTATCCTCTTTTTGTATTTTCATAAAATTTCCTCACCAAAATTCTATAGCCCCCATTTCATTCATTCAATTTTACAACATTATATCCATGATAAATTCTTAGGGGGTTTTAATTTAAACACTACACGAGGTATATTTTTTAAGATAAATTGATATACATGGTCAAGCACTGAAGGGAAGTATATAGATTACCTAAAAATCATCAAAATCGCCTAGAGACGAATCAACATTTTTAACATTAGCTTGGGCATCGGACCCTGGGCTCTACTCGGTTTAGCATTGTACAAGACCTATTGTTGATACCCACTCCAAAATTTAAATTTATATCTTAATTCTAAACCATTAAAGCATACTATCCTGGTATTTTAAAGGACACATTGAATCATAGTTCATACCCAGACTATAATCCAGTCTTAAAATACTTCCACAATATTCCCAAATACCCACTTTAGAAGAAAATAATCCCAAATAGGTAGAGTTCCAAGTGGGCAAAGAAAGAAAATATTCTCAAATTAGAATTTTTCAAGCAGAATTATCAGGAATAAACCATGGAAAAATGATGGGCTTGAAAAGATCCTAGTAATGTGGAATGCATAGTTGGCAGTGGCACTGAACGGCCTAGATTTCATTTTGGACATGAATTTGTTATAAATACGGTTTCTAGCCAATTTCATAGCAAAGAATACCTCTTTTTCCTTCAATTCGAATGTCCTCAACATCTCTCTTCTCCCAAGTGAAAATCATCTACGAATTTAATTTGCAATAGTGAAGACAAAGGAGGAAAGGGTTCTAATCTTCAACGTTTGGTTCGGGCTCAACTCTGGTTGCTGGGTCAAGTGCCCCGGCCTCTCCCGACTTTTCTTTACT